TGATTTTTCAATTTTTTTCAAGGAATTATGGAAAAACGGGGCATATTTTAGTAAATTATCCTCCAACTGGAACATGTCCTATTGACCTGCCACATCTAATCTAGTTTACCCCGATTTTCCATTTTTTTTCAATGATTATAGAAAAACGGGATTCATTCTGAAAAGTCATCCTCCAAGTAGAATTTATCCTACCGACTTGCCTTCCATTTTTTTTCAATAAATTCTAGCAAAACGGGGTAAATTCTGAGAGAACAAGTAGATAACACCTTTAGTTCCCATATGCCATCTTTACCCCAATTTTCCATTTCTTTTATCAGCGATAAATTCTACGATTAGCACTAATCGTTAGCCCCCAAAATAAAGCAACGCACAATAAATTAATATGTATTTAGACGTTTTCTATAACGCCCGCTTTCAGTTATTATTAACTTCCATGGAAATTAAAAACTTAGGCACACCAACGTGCTATGTAATATACTGTTCCCCGTTAATTGTAGTCATTCTCTAAAGAAGTCTCAATTAGAGACGAAACGCGTCGGAAATAAACGAGGAGCTTACAATTACAAGAAGAGTTTCTTTGCGCGGCTCGCTAGTCTTACTTAAAAATGAAAAAAAGAGGAAAAAATACAAATTTTATAAAAAAGTTTCTTTTCCCAATGAATTCTAGAAAAGCGGGATGAATTCTGAGAATTCGTCCTTCAAGTAGAATAAATCCTAGGTTGCCAAATCCAATCTTTAATCCGATTTTGCATTTTTTTCTTTTTTTTTCAATGAATTCTAGAATTACGGGGTAAATTTTGAGAATTTGGCCCGCAAGTAGCTAATACCGTAAGTTCCCATATGCCATCTTCACCCCAATTTTCCATTTGATCAGTGAATTTTAGAAAAAAAAGAGGTAAATTGTGGATAATACCCGAAGTTCCCATATGCTATCTTCACCCCGATTTCCCATTTTTTTTTCTGAAAATTCTATAGAATAACGGGGTAAAATCTGAGAATTCACCCTTCAAATGGAATAGATCCTAAGTTGTCATATCCAATCTTCAACCTGATTTTCAATGCTTTTTTCTCATCGAATTCTAGATAAACGGAATAAATTCTGCGAGTTCATCCCGCAAGTGATAGCAATATGCTAAGTTCCCATATGCCATCTTTACCCCGATTTTCCATTTGATCAGTGAATTCGAGAAAAACGGGGTAAATTCTAAGCATTCATACTACAAGTGAATAGTACCCTAAGTTCCCACATGCTATCTTCACCCCGATTTTCTATTTTTTTTTTCAATGAATTGTAGAAAAACGAGGCAAATTCTGCGAACTCATCCCGAAAGTGATAACAATACGCTAAGTTCCCATATGCCATCTTTACCCCGATTTTCCATTTGATAAGTGAATTCGAGAAAAACGGGGTAAATTCTGAGCATTCATGCTACAAGTGAATAATACCCGAAGTTCCCATATGCTATTTTTACTCCGATTTTCCATTTTTTCAGTGAATTTGACAAAAAATAGGGTAAAATCTGAAAAGTTATTCTCCAAATGGAATAGATCTCAAGTTGCCATATCCAATCTTCAACCTGATTTTCCATTTTTTTCCAATGAATTCTATAAAAACGGGATAAATTCTGTGAAATTCATCCTTTAGGTGGATTCTATCCTATTGACTTGCCAGAGCCACCTTTAGCCCCATTTTCGATTTAATCATTGTGTGAATTTGTCATAAACAGGGTAAAATAGGACAAATCCACCCAAAAGTGCTATAAATCCTACAATAATTTAGAAACAGTACTAAAAAAAAAACAGCTAAAATCAGCGGAACCGCAATAAAATCACAATCTACTACTTCAATTTTTTTAACGGAGGGCTTAATGCGATACGGCAAAAACCAACAGTACTCAAAATAACATATCAAACTCTTTCCCCAGTGCGACGAACATTTGTTTTTCTCGGTTCCAGGTGTACGCAACCACTAACCCCACGTAATGCGCATGCTCTCCGTTACGAATTTTCAAAATAGCAGACAAGCCAAAGAGGGAAATTAAAAAAAACAAAGCGATTTTGCAATGAATACTCAACATACACCCTCGTTAGAAAGGCGAATCCACGGAATAAAGATACAAAACTGTATGATCGATATGATATTAAATCGATACCGAGGGTCCGTTTCCAACTTTGCTAAGAAGTGCATTTAATTGCCATCCGCCACGATCACTAGCTTTCTTGACAGCTTTCTGAAGACAGTTACTTTCTTTCTGAAGACTTCTGATATGCGCCTATTGATTATTACACCTCGTATACCCGATTGCTCAAACACTTTGTTTACGATTGTTGAAAGGACCGACTCATGGTTCTCCGTCTTCGTCTTTACATTGCTTTGAAATAGTATAGATTAGTAAGCTGAAACGAAAAATTAATCAGGGAAGTTTACGAAAAATCCAGCAAACAAGCTTTAAAAAGGCTTTTATTTAGACTTCATACTTCAACGAACTTCACAAATCTTACTTGTTTATCTTGTAAGTAAACGATGGCAGGTTAATTCCCGAAGCGCTTTCTGAGTTTCTCGATCCCTCTCCTACTGCTTTCACGCTTTACAAAACAGGAAAAAATCAAAAGGAGGAAGATACAGCTGTTTTGAAACGCCATTTGACGAGGGTAAATCTGCTTTTTGTCCGACACTTTACATATCAAAACAAAGGAAATTTGTTCCTCTTTTTGATTCTGGCGGTATATTTGTAATTTTCGCCTGCGCAAAAGAGATATCGCCCGAGACCCTTCGCTCGGTCGTGTTTTGATCAAAAACGCCTTGTTAATTTCACGCAACCGCTCGAAGAAAAGGTAAAAATGACGAGGGAAAAACTTTACCTTCAAGTTAGAAAATTAGCGAAATAGAAAGCCACAACATTATAGTTTAATATTTCAGAGGTACATTGGGCGCTTTTTCCGTAGAGAATCCGCACGATGGTAAAACATTCGAAAATTACACTCGATTTGAGTGGGGTGTTGAAGTGGGCGTGGTCACCACATTCATGTTAAGACTATTTGTACCCCATGGGTTTGATATGCAACTGAAGGCCAAACTTCTGTGATCGAAGGAAGACTTCGTGACGCAGACAAATAATCACAGCTTGGACTTCTCAGTCGATCTCACCTCCGGCAGATCAGGTGAAGTGTCAAAAATATATAATTTTATGTCAACGAACCATAATCTATGATCTTCAACTATTAAAGAAAATAAACCAATTGTGATATGACGCCACATTGTGCTTTTGTCTTAGCTTGTGGCTAAAATGTTGTCATTGAAGTCGCAAGTCGGGCAATGAAGACTGTAAATAAAGCAAGGCTGCAAATAAAACGTGAACAATAACGCATCCTTTGGTCGAAAGTCGCTTTGTTATTCACGCGCAGCAAATTGTTCTTCCAAGTTTAGGTTATAACAACGATGCGATCACTCTGCGTTAACGAACGATTGAACTTCAAGGAAAGCAATATGAGAGGCCAATGATCCAGTTCGCAGTGATCATGCGAACAGCATGTTTTCCTGAGATCAGTTACCGGAAAATACTGGTCAAATTTTCCACTTATCCCGACCCCCTTGAATGAGTACTTTTGCTTGAAGACATAACTACAACGGAGTCTCTTAACCAGTCCCAAGCCGCGTGTCGCTCGATAGATCGCAGGATATGATTGGCCACTGTATCACATTACGTCAGAGGACATATCTGCAATAAGAGGACATAAGTGCAACGGTACACGTGGCCACTGAGGCTTGTTTCGCTCCAGGTTTCGCTCAGCGCGTTTTTCTTTATCTCGCATTCAGGCCCCCATCAAAAGTATTTGTTAGGCGGTTTTATATTAAAACTAAAAATTTATAAGGCTATTTCTGAAAATATACATTGCGATATGCATACGAAATTTAAAGTCTGCATAAGATGTATTTTGCATCGCTCTCTGCGTTTTAATTCTTATCAGGCGAAGCCGGCTTTAATCAGAAATTAAAACACTTCGTCTTTCTTCACATACTCCAGTGCAAGAAAGTATTTATCTCAGTTAGACGAGCAGCCGCGGTTCGGGTTGACGGCTAACAACTAGTATTTTATCAGCACAATCTTGTGATCAGTTTTCAGCTGTGTGTCAGCTGTCCGATGAAACTTATCTTCTGCAAAGCTAACACGGAAAAGGAAGCTAAAACACAAACACTGGTAAGCAAAAACGAGGAAAGAACAAGCATGAACCAGTTTTTGATCGAATGGAATATATTTTGTTTCTGTATAACCAATTATTCTAGTAAACATAAAAATGTGCGGATGAAAATTCCCAAAAAAGGCAAAAAAATTCATCCTTTCATCATCTCGCGCGCGGTAATTTGGCTCCGCGCGACCTGCGCGTGATATTTTACGCATGCGTCTAATTTGCATTACGTCACGAGTCACTCAAATTGTGCAACTGCTTAAAATATTTCCTTGCCACTGCGTGTAGTCCTTAGAACCATTAGTCTTCCGTTTGGAAGGGAAGAGTTGAATAGAGTAGCCAGATTTCAATGTGGAGATTCAGTCCAGTAAGTCTTGATCGCTGTGAATGTGTTTGATGGTATCAAAATTAAGGGAGTCGCGCGTTCAGTTGAGTTTCGCCGTTCGCTTCGATAGCAACCCATTCTTCGCTAACGAATTCATTCATCATCTCGCGACATTTCCCTATGCCGAGGCTTTAAGACTTTTCGACACTCCCTTGAATTAAGCCGTCGTTCGAACGTCTACATGTTTGAATGTTCTTTGTCTAGATTTGCTGATGAATTCTGTTATTCATAGGCCTACGGCAGTCGTGCACACACTTTTATGGAGTTCATCATTGACAGTGGAGATTGGTGTCAGGCACAACACGAGTGAGGAATTGGCGAGTTTAATGTGAATGGGTTGACCCAATTCACTTTCGATAACAGTAAGGAAACGGCGAGTTTTATTGAAACTTGGCGGAATTGAAAAATTTGTTAGTAACAGAATTAAATGACAGACATGAAAATGCCTTCTGGAACCCGAGTACTTAACAACCAAGGGAGATCCTTACACGGACCCGGCCCTGTCGTTGTGGAGCATAAGCACATGAAGTTTTTGATCACCGATCGTCCCACTGATGCGACCTTGCCTCGGTATATAGAGGTAAATGCCTTTTGTTGTTGTTGATGGATATGTGAATTAGACTGAATCTTAAAGAATCTTCCTTGCTTCTCTTTAGGATCTTAAGAGGTACGATGCCCACGTTGTAGTGCGGGTGTGCGAACCGACATACAACATCGAACAGTTGAAGAAGCAAGGAATCGATGTTCTGGTGGGTAAACCGATTGATTACTATTTCTCTCGATGATACAATATTAAGGAGAAATTTAATAACCAGTATATATTGGTGTTTACTTCCGAAGGTTGCGGAATACATGCGAATGTAATCGATTTCCTCATGAAACGGCGTGGCCATTTTGTTTTTGATTTTTGTGTCCTCATTTGTGTGCAATGCTAATTTTTTAGAGGCTGTTTGATGTTGTAAAACCCACTTAGTAATTCTGATCTTTTATGGTTTTTCTTGTACTTGATCATCGCTTTTAATAAATCTATTAAATGTCGCACCTTTCGTCCTAAAATGAACAATTGAAACTAACATGAACTGGTGATGTTGAAATCGAAAGTGTAGTGTTGTGGCAAATTTGGATGAACTCTGTTGTCACCAGCAGATTTTTACCCGCGTATTTTTCCTTGGTTTCGACTTGACGCACCTTTATTTATTGAATATGACGTTTCATTTTTTTCAAATTGTCGCGATGTTTCTTGTCTTTTCTCAGTTCTTTCGTTGGGTATTTGTCAGTAAGAATGCATCTCGCAAATCGATGATTTGGCTCACAAAGCAAATTAGCGAGTATGAAAACCGGCTTTACCGGCTGCGAACAACAGACTCGTAAACTATCGTCAAAAGGCGGTCAGACCAGATAGAAATGCCTGAATTTGTTTAACAATGAGAGAGAATCGAATATACCGGTATCGACGAGTAGTATTTAACAAACTTTTGAAAAATAATTGGGCCGTTATTGGGAAAATTACACATCTTTCTTTAAATGTAACGAGGAATTAAGTCTCATTGTGACAAGTTGAGCCTTTGGATCAGGGACGTATAATTTTTATCCTTAGAAACTAACTCCGATGGGCCAATAAAGTACTTTGAAGTAATCTAGATTTTTCATCATGTGACAGTCATGTTACTGCTTTCCAAAGTCCAAGATCATTTAAGATTATGTACATCCTAACAATCAGGACTTGGCAACCGGCTAATGTCTTAGAACCGGTTTGAATTGTTGATTTCTTCATGAGAAGGTTGTTGACAATTTGCACAACTTAGAAGTGTTATTTACAATTGCCATGCATAAACAGAATAAATCTACCTACATGGAGGGCATGTTCAATGATCAAAGTTACTCTTTTACTTTCTGGAATAATCAAAGAGGAATATCTCCTTACAGTAAATATACAATTTCAAGCTGACAGATAATGAGTATAGCCAAAAATATATATGACAAGATTTTTGTTTTGTGTAAAACCAAATTTTTTTTTTAGCCAATTGAACCTTTTGACCCCAAAGATTGATGAGCATATAATTTCTCCTCACAGTGTCACCCCTGAATCTCAAATGAAGGTCATGAGGAGAAAGGAAATGATCACTATCTAAAGAAGCTTGTAATTGTAAACAAATTCTCCTTGTCAGCTCCTTAGGAAACATTTAGAATAGGTTGAGTAATGTGCATGATGATGTCAGGATGGAAAGGGTTAAAAATCACAAGAGATTCTTGACAGACAATGCAGATAATTTTTAAATCTTGATTGAAGAAGTCAAATAATAAGAATATTTTAATGTGAATTTTCAGGACTGGGCTTTTGATGATGGTGCAGCCCCACCTAAAGAAGTAGTAGATGGGTGGCTTCAGTTGCTTAAGAAAAAGTTTAAAGAAAAGCCAGGATCGTGCATTGCAGTGCATTGTGTTGCTGGACTGGGCAGGTTTGTCAACTGTGTCTCATATTTGCTTCTAGGTCCAGGTATTTGAGGGCAGATGAATACTAACCAAGGGTTGAAGTTTAATCCGGGTTTCTTTATTCCTTTATTCAAAAGCCTTTTTTAGATATTTTTTCCATTCTTTTTAGTGAATCCAATCATTAAATTGTAAACAAAAAGATTTGTGCTGAAAGTTCTTTTTAAGCTTTCAAATCTGAAATCAGATTTCCCACTTAACTTGGATTTTCTTAACCCAGCTTTAAACAACCCCACCCTGTTTCTTTGCAAACCTGGCAATTGAGTTATTACCTGGCACATTTGGGACAGACACAATTTAGTGTAGCTCCATTTTCTGCATATAAACACACGCATAACCCACAATTCCTCCAATCGCTCTGACGAAGGGCTAATGTTGAAAACATCAGCTTTGAAACTCTTTATGGTGGCCAATTTATGTTATCAACTTGGTTGATAATACTAAATCACCCTGTTGTACTCTCCCACCAACACAGCACCACAGTTTCTTTAGAAACTTCCCCCTTTAGACATAATTTATCAGCTATTTACCCTATGACCCTTAAGATTGACTAGCATCTAAATTCTCCTTACATTATCACCCCTCAGCCTAAAATTAAGGTTACAAGAATAATGAGAATGATCATCAACTAAAGAAGCCCTTGATTGTTAAACAAATTCTCCTTGTCAGCACCTTAGGAAATGTATAGAGAACAGTATGGAGAATGTGCATACTGATATTAGGGTGAAAAGTCATATTCTGTCAGCTAGTGGTTGATGATGAGCAAGCCTGAATCAGCAATTATCAGGCATAGCAATTTATAGCAAAAATTATAATTGTTCTGGTACAAACCTACTTGTTCAGATATGAACAAGATTTGAACAACAAGTAGATTTGTAATTATGTACTGTTAGGCTTCGTACAGAATGGCTTTACCACAGCACAGAGAGCATAGCCAAGCAGATGAGTTTTAGTTTTAGGATTCAACACCAGTAACATAAAATGTTTTGCAGAATTTTTTGAAATGATTTGTAGATCTAAGGTACCCACTAAGAATGGGGTTCCATATAGTTGCATTCTATAAGCTAACTCATTGAACATTCTCTTAATTGCAGAGCACCAGTCCTTGTAGCTTTAGCTCTTATTGAAAGTGGAATGAAATATGAAGATGCTGTGGAATTTATCAGGAGGTATGGTAACACTAAATTACTCTACGGCTCAAATGCAAGCCGACAGTCTCAACACAAAACTTGTACCCTGATTTTGGAAACTTCTGAGTATCAGTAGTCAAGTTTTGAGGCTTTTGTTTTCAGTTTTGTCTTTCAAGAATTCAGTATTAAGTTTCAACTCAGGATATTTTATTTGCTAGAATGGAATTGAAACTGCTCATATTTCTTTCAACTTATTATTTAATATTCCCTTGACAGTGATTGCAACAGAGGTATCAAGGCCACATTACAACTTTTTTCCCTACTCATTTGACCTTATTGTTCACTCATTGAAACAGATGTTGTGATTACAGCTGATGGAAACTGAAATTTTTAGATACGTGAATAGTATTCAATGGAAATTACTAGTATTCACATTTCTTCTAACCAATAATGAAACTAGCATGTACATTCAATGCTGAAGATTAGAGCATCATACTGAAACTGTTGCATAGAAAGATTCATGTTTTGGGGTTTGAAATGATGTATCCAATGTTGTGTGAATCTGTTTTTGTGGGGGCATTTTCCTTTTGAAATTGATTAATTTGTGAAATTCTCTCAAATTCTTTCAGACGAAGAAGAGGGGCCATTAATGCAAAACAGCTCAATTATCTGGAACAGTACAAGCCTTCCAAACTACTGAAAGAGAAAGGAAGTGCCAATTGTTGCATTCAGTAAGGCAAAGGCACAGCATTCGTGATGGAATTGAACATTTTATTGAGTTAATGATCAGGTTTCAGGAAAATTCATTTTAGGTGCTTGAATATAAATTTCCAAAGAAGCTGTAGCTAGGTTCAAAAATTACAATTCTTGATATTTTAGTCTGACTGGCAAAAATTTTAATGGCAGCTAGGACAATGAAGGTTATGAAATATGTAAAATCTCCCTTTTTTTTTTCTTTTTTCCCCTCCATCTTGTTATTAGCAACAGGGAAATGCAAACCCTTTTGCTCTCAAAGTTTTGTCAAGTTTCTGTAATCATACATAGTGGCTGCTCAGTTTTAAGAATATAAATATTGTTGTGAGCTGAATTAAATCCTGTTACTGGAAGAGTTGAACAACTAAAAATGCACTGATTTTCAAAAATGTGCATTGAAGTCGCTAGAAGTAACCAGGTGAATGGAATTGCTCAATCACCAAAGCAGTTATGCCAAAATTTGTTTCTTTATAGTGCAGCTATGTACATGTATTTTCATGTGCTTCTGTGAACACATTTCGATATGATGGGAGGAAACAAAATTCTAAGAAATATGTAAATGTTAAGCAATAATTATAATGATATAGTAATTATATTTTCATGTATCTTTTTAATTGCTATCAATTTTTTTTCTGCTGTGTGTTCTAGACCTCTAATGAATCCATTCATTTATTCCATTCTCAAGATCTATTTGGAACAAGAATTTGCAATTAGTATTCATCACATGTATAGTTAACTTTTCTTACATTTACGCAGAAGTATGCTTTTGATAATATTGTGTAAAGTAGTTTGGAGAATTTCATTAAATGGAGACAGCATCCCCAACCACAAATCAGTGTTGATTTTCCTTCACATGCTTTTGAAGTTATCAAGGTTGTATTTTCCTCCTTCTGTAGATCATTTCCTAGTGTTATTGTATCTGGTCATAAACTCTTCTGTTTGTAGGGGATTCTGTGAAAACTTTGTGGATGTTGTACACCGATTTCTGATGGAGTTATGTGAGGATTGGTTGGGTATAACTAATATAGTTTAAACAATTTTAAGTGTAGGATGTACAATTTTTACACATCATTCATTCCATGAATATTTTACCTCCACAATGTAATGAAGATTGTTATTTTCAGAATTATTTCAAATATTTAAAGTATGACTTTCACAAATTGTTTAAATATTGCTATTTATTTTTATTTCCATAGAAGCTTAGAAATTTACTTTTGGTTTTTGTTAATCAGTGACATCACATTGCAATTCTTGTATTTTACTCTGGGCCAAAACTCCATCTCTAATCAAATTAATCAGAGAGAAGGGAATCTAAGATAAGAATGATTTGAATGTAGTATACAAAGCACACAAAATTACTTGTTCATTTAAATTCGCTTTTGAACACATAACAGAAATTGCTGATTTTGCTTTTGTTACCTAAGTGCAAATGAAAAGACAAAAAATGGCTAACTTCAGGTGCTCTGGTGCACAACTGTAGCTCATGTAAGGATTTCTGATTGTGCAGATACTACATAGAAATGAGATATATCCCTTTCATTGCAGATGAATGTGAATGTGTAGTTATTTTGGGTTAATGTAGAAGAGCAGTTTGAAATATTTTTTTGGTTGATATTGTAATCTAAAAAATAAGGTCACCTTGGCAAAGAATCAGTTGTAAGTATAAGAATCGTGCATGACCATGTGCATCTGAAACAAGTATAATTTCTGAGCAGCCTCGATGTTTCAAATGAAAAATACTTCTATAGTGCCGCCAGTCTTTTGAATTTTTCTCCTTGATGCACATGCTTAGGCATGTTACTTGGTCTTCTGAGAAATTGGTTACCTTATGCCAAAAAAATGGGAGAAAATAGCAGCACCTAAACTGTACCATGTTTTCTGGTATACAAGTTCTCAATCATACATGTACTTCCAAAAATCCCTCAAGGCTTGCAATTATGATTTTTTTGGTAGAAATTAGTGTTAGATTAGTTTAGATATGGGGTGTAATAAATGCATGAAATCTGATCAGGTTGAGTAGAGCAACTTGTTAAGTTTCACACTGCTAACAGTCACTGTTGCACAAAGCAATATCTACAGGGCAAACAAAATAGTTAAAATGTAAATATGATGGAAATACGATGAACTTTTAAATCCTCTAAAATATTCCCTCTTTGAAACTTTGCAACATGGTTGAGAGCAGTGTAACAAATATTCCTAAATGGTTGAAAAATTGTTTTCCCTCACCGATATATGTTCACTTATTGCTGTACATGAGAATCTGCTTATAAACTATTGATTGCTACTGTAGTGTGTATTTTTCTATGAAGTAAAGGTATATGTGTAAATGGTAACTAAAACAAACAACTGGGAGGAATAAAGATTTTTAAACACCTGCTTCAATTTTGTGTTACAGTGTGTGTTCACAGCTACTTAAGACTGAGTGTTTACTTCCCACACTGTTGGTCTTACATTTGCTCTTTGTTGGAAAGTTACAACATTTCTAGATAATTTCCACTTTGAAAACCATCATTTCACAAATCTAACAATGTCCCCCAGATAGGTAATGAGAATTTTGAAGAAATATATATACCAAGAAACTCTCATGGCAAGCCATCACAAAAAAAACCCTAAGAGAAAAAAAAACCCCAAAAAAAGAAACCTTAATTAGTTGAGTAAATATGCTCTCATATTTTGTGAGTTAAGAGTCTGATTTTTGCTGCTGGAGAAGGGGTAAAATCAGCTTTAAGGAGGTCTACATGTTGAGGAAAATATTTGTTCACTGAAAACATGTCTATGCACTGCAAAACACCTGTTGCTATGTGAGTAACTGCTGATGTACAGCCTTTTGTCTGGGTGTTTGTGGGCAACGGTTGACCTCCAGGAGAGGAATTCATGCATTTTACAAAGCTAGAAAATAAAATAATAAACACACTCTCATGGGCAGCTGTGAATTTAATTATGTGTAAAGCTTGAAGAGGCTACCAACTGTAATGATGTTGAAGCTAGAGAATTTTGCCAGCTCCAATCTACAAAACAACCTCGCATTACTTGAAGATATTCTTGTTGTAGCTCCCTACACTCCACCTAATAAAATGGCTTATAAAATGTTTGAGCTGTACATGTACCAGTACCTGCGCAAAATATTAAGGCAGATAAAACTAAAGCAGGCACATAAAACTAAGTTTAACTTAGAAATAACAAGCTGATTCTTCATAATTCTAGGCTTGGAAAACCAAATCTTTTACATTATTTTCACATGAACATGTCATCATATCCTGGTGGTGGCAAGTGATCTGGGTCAGGTCTAAACAAAAGGCAAAAAGGGTATGATTTAAAATTAAAAAAAACTTATGGAATGTCATGAAAGTGAAAGAAAAACATCATTTCACACGTTTCTCTCAGATACAAACTGCACAAAGATGCTTGTGAAAAACTTGTTGACCTTCTAGCCAGTAATAGACATGCTGACAAACTTTTTCAATATATTAAAGTTCACATGGCAACCAGGTGGACAATCAGACATGGTTTGATGCTACTCTGGTTTACAGATTTAATGAATGTAACCAAAGAAGTTACAATTCATAGACCCAACATTTTGACACTCCTGTCTAGTGCCTTCATTAGGGGTGATTCACCCCAAAACTTTTTGAACGATAACAACCTGAACTAATCATTTCTTTATACAACTGTCAGTGAAATAACCTTGTAAACAACAATCACAGTCCTTACACAACAAATATTAGTGTTTATGGAAACTCACCCAGCAAATCTTCCTGACCTAGGATCGGTGCGTGATCCTCCACGAGGTACTGGTCCAAATGGGTCAAACCTGGCACCTGGAGGGACAGCCCCTCTAAAACAAGAACAGACAGCATGTTCTAGAACATAATTTTACTTGAATTTATTATTTTGAAGAAAAAAAAAGGAATTTGACAGGCAGAAAGGTAAATGTTGGTAGTATCCTGGATATTTTGAATTGTTCCCGCAGTGCATTGTACCTCCGGCATGTGTCTGGGAATACAGAAAACTGAGGATGCTAACAAAAGCCCCCTTTGCAACAATACAATACTGTGTGAAAGTAAACCACTGATTAAAATCTGTGTAGTTTTAAAAAACTGTAAGAAAACCTACTTAAAAAATCCAAAAAAAAAAAAAAAAAGAAAAAAAAACTGACACACAAAATGACAAGACAATATATACTATTTATTGTTTGACTATTGTGCCATTTTCATTTACTGACTCTTGTAGTATTGATCTTGCCTTTGAAAGTAAAGCCTGACTGATTACACAAAACATACTGAATAAGAAGTATACGGACTATTGTAAATTGTTACAGTAGTCAATCAAACCTTGGCAACTGTCCTGGGAGGGGTTGTGGTCCAAGCCTTCCAGGTCCTACCCCACCCATACCTCCTGCACGAAAAGGGTCCATCAACATGCCACCACTACCACTGGTTAGAGCATAAAACTAATTATAATCATTATGATAATAATAATATGTTCACTGTTGAGTAATTATTTGAATATGTTTTTACATGATCGCTGAACAGTTTGTAAAAAACACCACTAAAACATGCCATTTGATGAATGTTTTTCCAAAGCACTGAAAATCAACAAAGTAAGGTACCCTTCTGTTGGCTGAATATGTCACCATCTTGCTGACTCAACAAGGTTTAGAGGAGATTGACAGACTGTTAAGTATAACTTGCAAATGACAGTCCTTGTAAACCAGAGTAATGAACATGGAAGCGATCTTTGCAGTAGTGAACACTACTTAAGCAGTAGCAACAATAGGGCCTGAAAAAAATTCAGGCCTGCATGGGATTTGAACCTATGACCTCTGCAAAACCGGTGCAGCTCAAATGATACATGAAGAGTTCAGATTCTAATAACTCACCCTGGGTATCCAGGGAACCTGTCTCCATCACCATATCCAAAAGGCCCAACTGGTGGTGCCCTAAGAAAATCATTTGCACAGTTAAGAAACTCTGTATAGTACAACTGAATTAAATGGATAATGCCCACCTTGGGGAGAAAGAAAAATTATCATTGCCTATTCTTTAGAAGAACCCAATATTCCAATGATACATAAACAAAGTAGTTGATAAATAATTAAGAAAGAAACCTTCAGCTTATCATTAGAGGTAAAAACAACCTAACAACCTCCCATCCCAAAAAAAACAACAACTGAAATTTGTTGTGCACATTTAATTTGGTAGTCATTTCCATTGTGGAGAAGTGGCTGTTAAATAGAATGATGGACTGACTGTTTATTCATCTGAAACTACAGTAGAACGCTGCTCACTTGAACTCCCAAGGGAAACAAAAAATGGTTCAAGTTAATTGGGGTTTGAGTTAGCTGATAATAAATGACTGAGAAATGGGTTAAGGGAAATTGGATCTTGTTTAAGGGATTCAAGTCAACCAAGTTTGCAGATTTTCCATAAACAAACAAAATGACTCAAATCACACAATTTAAAAGTATTTAAAAGCATGATTGTTACCATTCCCCATGAAAGTCTGGTGGTCTGCGTGGAGGTATTCTCAGTGGGTCATCATTAATCAATCTGCTTGGTTGCTCCCTATGAAACAGGTGTATTAATGAACTTATTAATATATACTTTGTTAAAATATAATTGCAGTTGTGAACAAATGATTATTGAGGTCCCTTTATCAGTAGGTACCTCTGATTATCTGTTCTGTTCTGTCTTCTTTCCTCATTGGAACCTGCTCTGCTGCTTGAAGTAAATTTGTCAACAACTTCTTTGAATATTTTTGTCTTCAACTGATCAATATGTCTGAATATTCTACATAACAAAAGATAAAAATAATTATAGTTAAAAATTACTGATCTGTTACCGGTAGTACCAGCAAGCAAACACAAATGCTTCTCTTTTGTTGAAAAATAAATTTGCTTGTGCTGTCAATGGTAACTGAAATAGTGCTACCATGCTAGTCAGTGACTTGCATTTAAAATTTTCAAAAGTGCCAAATCTTTGAAATCATTTAAAGTAAAAGAAATAGTTTAAAACATGATTAAGTCATGAATGTACAAAACATGGTGATGGATGCAGTCTGACCAATAGACAAGATGCAAAACTTGCAAAGTGATGATTTATTAAGTGGAAGTCAGACAAACCTGTCCATCTGTTGGGTTCCCTGTGCACAGTTGTATTCAGCTGATGTGGAAGTGTAGCTATCCACATCTAATTCTGCGTCAAACATTTTGGACTCATCTTCTTCCTAGATAAAGAATTCACTAGTTTACTTGAAGCAATCTTATGCTGTCACTCCTTTGTTCATTAACATGTTCTCCTAATGCTCGTAGTAGAATTTGGTGAATTTATGACTGTTGCACACTTTCAACTCAGATTAATATGTTAAACATCTAAGTTGTCAGTTCCCTATCTAACTTAACTCAATACACTTTTGATGTGACCTACACTGCTTATCATGAGAAAAAGTTTATTAATCTCAAGCAAAAAAAAAACAAACAAAAGACACCAGCAACAATTTTTTTTGTAAATTACAATTTTTTTAGAAAGGGCCTCTTGCAGAGGTGTCTTGTTCCATATATAAAAAAGTTGATTGAAAATACTTTTACTAGGGAGGGGTGGGGAGATGTGTGACAAATTATGCAAGGTAAAATTAGAGTGAAAGCAAGATACATTTGAGAAATATAGGGTTCACTACAATATGTGTGCATTTTTGACCAAGCATGAAGTCAAGATGGCTGGATATTGGCCATGTCCTTCTCTTTGCACTTTTACAGACTCACAAAGTCAAGGTCAATAAAAATGCCAAAAAAGAATCAGGCTAATATCCAGTCATCTTGACCAAACAAGCTTGGCCAATAAAGGATTTATCATACAGCAAAAATATTTTGCTTTATTATTATTGATCGAAATTTTGTAACCTAATTGTTTATCTTTCAATCAAATAGTTGCAACCACTTGTGTAGAGGATACATACCATGAGATACAGCATCACTTTATCACCCAGCCTCAAGGCTTTTAAAACGTACACAGAGTTCAAGTTTCCTCTGCGATATTGAAGAGCATAAACATCATCAAGTGAATTCCAATCGGGAGGAAGGGTCTCTCCAAAATCAAATTCTTGTTGTGTGTTTCTCTGCAGGGGAAACAAAAGTCCGAATTAAAGATCACTTCGGAAAAATGGTGCAATAAATGTTCTATGGTCGAGAGCAAGGAAAGTACTTCATTAACACCTAGTATAAAAATATTATCAACCAATAAAAATTTGGCAACTCGTTTGCAGTTTGCATTGAGTCAGCTTGTATTTTTTTCCTCGGGACAATTTTTTAAACACTACCCCTGTCTGTTAACTCACCTCCTCCCCTGAATTGATACAGCGGAATTCTCGCTCTACAAGGCAAGCATGAACAGCTAGGATAACAGCGTCAAACTTGTCTCTAAGCTTGTATAAACGGAGAAGATTTTGTACTTTCACTTCCGCCATTTTGTTATCCACTACGATGATGTTCCTTCCCAGGTTCTTGCGTTATTACTGAGTAACCGCGCCATATGATCGAAAAGCGCGGGAAACCGTACGTTGCGCCGCAGTCTTTCCTATGAAATATTAAGACAAAAAACGAACCGAAGAAAAAACACAACAGTTTACCATTGTTATCGAAAAAGGTTAGCCTTTTTCTCAAGTTTTGTGCAAAGAAGCTCACAAAATAACGCAAACATGAAGAGAACATCGGGAATGTAGGGACGGTAAGGAAACCAAGGGGTTTTATCGCAATTTCAGCCAATAATTTTGAATGTATAGTTTTCAAAATGTTCGACAATATTTTTCTCTGGTTTTTACTCTTTTCTTTTTTCTGCCTATATTGAAATTTTTATCTGATGTTGTTTATTTCTGTTAGAAAACACGATGAGTTGCAAAGAAGAAGTGAAGAAAAACGTCTCGTCTTCAAATGGAGGTAAACGTTCGACTATTTCCCCAATTAATAACATTGATAGTTCGCACATAAAGCCACGTTCTCGTTTCTATACTCCCAATTTGTCGTACATATATTCATATTTTGACCTGAAACAGCTAAAATAACTTCAACGCACTAAATTGTCCCTTCCCTAGTCTTTCTATACGAGAGAAGCCTACTAGAACACGATTTAAAATAGCACTTTTTATATGTTACTTTATTTCGACCTTGGACTGTATATTTATCTGTTGTTTAAGGTGTGACTCCTCTTCCCTCTGTTATATTTGTATCATTTGGTTTTGGTATTTTGAAAAATGTAATTTAACTCAAAGGGTTTCTTATTGCTAAAACTATTTTTTGCCCTTCTCCATTTTCTCTCCTCTTTGCAATCATCAAAAAGGTTTTTAATTTTTGAAATGGAGAAAAACTAAATAACAACAAACACTTGTCTTCTATTTTCTCAGTGGAGGATGAGGTTGAAGATGAGGTGCTGATTTCCCTCTGTGAATCAAATGACACTTGTGGAGATGATGTGTCAAGTGGGAAGGTAAAAAATTACTTCTGACTATAACCCACACCCTAATACAAACCTATTTACTTCGATACGTTAATATAGGGTACTAAATTTTGTAGGAGAACTCTTATCTTGGTTACAAGTTTGATTTTATAGAGGAGTATATCGGAGCAAAGACACATTATGATAAGATTCAGATTACTTTTTATTTTTGTGAGACCATGAGCACCATTGTTTTTGTTACATGTTTTTTTTTTAGTTAAGTCAGGGTATATTAACCGGTGCTTACAGATTCCCAACGATATTTAGCCTAAAATAGTTTAAAATGTTAGAGCAACTAAACATTTTAACTTACAGCTTCTAGCCAAAAAAATTAAATTGTGGAAATTTTCTGGCAGGAAAAGAATGGAGAAACCATCAGTAGGAACAAATACAAACTACCTGAACTGTTAACAACAATAGGTCAGCGGGCTTATTCAAGCAGCGCTAATGACAAAAGGCTTACAAAGGAAGAAAATATGAAGGACGCTGTGAAACCTGTCAAGCAGGATGAAAACATGAGTGCTACAGGGACTCGGCAGGATTGTAGAGATGGTACCAAAGTGTCCAACAGCTATCCCAGTGCAGATGAAGCTACCATCGGTATTGACGAGTCGAGAACTGTAAGGTTTAAAAACAACCTCTTTGTGGTAAGTATACAGAAAAAAAATCCAACTATTAAAATCGTAGACTGCTGACGCGCCTTCACAATTTTAACTTTATTTCCTTACTGGTTATTTGTAGGCGATCGAAGAGCTGCGGATTCAGCGGGTACGTAAGCAAATTTTAAATGACTCAAGCCATGAAATTCACACTCCCACGAGTATGATCTCAAGCTGTTTCAAAACTCTGGTGAAGAGAGTGCACCCAGCCATGTCGCCTCCAGCTCTCTTCATACTTCTCGCAAAAAACTTAACTCTCCCCTCTCCCCCTCTTATTTCATCGGCTATGCAGGCTTCTTATGAGTTTTTTTCTCGAGATTTTTGCTCACACATGAAAAGAAATCGTCAGGAACAAAAACTGAAGTATTTAGGAGCACCAAGATAGGTTCACTTGCGCATTTTTTCATTGGAGTAAAATATGCTTAAATACAAGAAAACTGACGGTGCATTGGACAAAAACAAAATCGTGTTGTCCACGTGTTGAGGTGGTCGTAGCATTTTGTTGAGTGTAAACAGCAAAGGCAAGCAAATCGCCTAAAGGCGGAAAACACAAGTGATCATAATCGGTTTAAATTTTGGCTCTTTTTGGTTGAGAGGGTTAACGGTAGTTCTCTAAATTGATCAGAGAGCGAAGTCTTCGCTTTGTATTTGGTCCAGAAAACTTCGGCTAATCCAATGCAATACCGGGTTACTTTATATTATTAAATTCAAATTCATACTTGTTTTCATTTTGTTATCATCATAACTATAATTTAATTTTGCGCACTTAAAAACTAAAAAAAAAAAATATATATATATATATATAAGCAAAATAGGCGAATGAATAGATAGAGAAATAGATAGGTAAATAGGTCGCATATTTTAAGTGTGTTCTCATCAATTTTGATTTGGGGGGGTTAAATTAGACCCTTGACGTGGAGAACGAGGAAAAAATCAGGACCCTGATGACTGAAAAACATGAAGAGGAGCGCATGAAGGTACCTCCAAACCTGCTTTTTTTGTTTTATGTTTTGTTTTTACATTTGAAGTCCACTTAGGATGAATTTTTAGCATTTGTTACAATAATGGCGACTTCATATTTCAGCTGAAAAAACAAACAATCAATCAAATAGATTACAACGGACTAATTTGCATAGCCTTCGAGATAAAAACATGGATAGGAGTTTTTCATTCGCGTTCTTGCTTTGTTTTCTTATTATAGAAAGGAGTCCTTACATTTCACAAGCGAGTATATTTCGTCTTATCAGTTATTAATTTAAGTTATTAAAATGAACGGCGTAAATAGATGACAC